TATGAATGTAATAAAACACTTTTGGAAAGCTTATCAAATGAAACAACCTAAGATTTAATTATCAGCTTTTTAAAGGTTTTATGAACCAGATCATCTGTATTGCCAAAATCACTTAGGTGGCTTAGGAATTACAGAATCCTCCTTAATCTTCTATTTTATTCTCAGGATTAAAATGAAATTAAAATGATGTTCATTTCTTTTTTATAGTTAACAAAAATTAAGCATAGAAAATTCCAAGTCCAAAGAAAAAATTTAAAACTACTCAAATCTCTCCAACTCAGATAAAACTCCCATTCGTATTTGGTAGATAGCCTTCTAGACGTCTCAGCACACACACACACACGCGCACACACACACACACACTCATACAAATACCTACATTTATATAAAAAGATTAATACAATATATGACTCTCTGCTACTTGTCTTTGGGACTAGATATTGTTTTCTATCCCCTTTTTTGTGTTTTCATGCCAGTAAATAGATACATATGTCAGAATTTTTAATGGTTACATTATGTATCTACACTCATATCCATATCTGTATCTATATATACACGCATACATACCCTACTTTATCTAACCTCCTATTGACATTTACACTGCACCCTCCCCTCATTGTTTATTAATATCCTTGCACATTTTTTTTTATGTTATGTTAGTCCCTGTACAGTATATCATCAGTTTTTGATGTACTGTTCCATGATTTATTGTTTGCGTATAACACCCAGTGCTCCATGCAATCAGTGCCCGCCTTAATACCCGTCACCAGGCTCACCCATCCTTCCATCTCCCTCCCCCCTAAATATCCTTGCGCATTAATCATTTTGCGTTTGTACAGTTATATTCTTAAATTCCTAGAAGTTGGGTTGCTGAGCCAAAAGGTCAATGTTCGTGTATATTCCTTACCAAATTGCTCCAGATCTGTCATCCCAGTTGCAGCTTCCACTAAGCAAAATGATAAAAAAAGAGTGCTTGTTTTTTCATACTTTCTTAATATTGGCTTGTCTTTCTTAAAAATTGACAAATGCTCAAAAGTCACTTAAAAATTTGCATCTCTTTGATTATTAATGAAATTGAACATATTTCCAGGTGCTTATTGGATGTTCTTATTTCTTCTTTGTTTAATTGCTTCAGTATTTTTATTACAATGTTTGTCTTTTTCTCATTGCCCTGTAAGAGATTTGTGAATATTGAGATTTTGTTATTTGGGCTTGGAGTTTGTCATTTTACTTTTAACTCTGCACACAGTGGTTATTAATTTAAACTAAATATCACTTATTTGTTTTTGTGTATAAAATTATTGTCAAAAATTTAATCGTTACATCATTTTATATAAAGTTTTAAGCTTTTATATCATAGTTAAGAATGAGCATTGTCCTTCAGGGATTGCAGAACCACTCCCCCATATTTCTTCATAGTAGCCTTAGATTTTAACATTTTTACACTATAATCTTTGATCCATCTGGGATTTATTTTTGAGTAAGGAGAAACCTAAGCCAGTTTTATTTTTACTTACCCCAATTGCTGGCCAGTTGTCAGACTTCAAGAATACATACACCATTTTACTACTGATTTAAAGTGGTGCATTTTCTTATATTATTCCCTTATATATTTGAATCTGTTTCTGGGCTCTATTCTATTCAGTCGACCTGTCTGATTCTGAGTCATTATTACTGAGTTTTTGTTTCTGTGGCTTTGTACTATTTTTTTTTTATATAGAGTAAGTATCCCTTCAATTTTCTTCTTTTTCAGACTTTCTGATTTTTTCCATACTTACTTGATGAACTAAAAAGTCATTTGGTTGATTGAGGAAAAGTCCTGCTGGAATTTTCCAGTACAGTTGTATATTGTTTTTAGATCAATGGAGGGGAAATTGGCGCTTTTATAATACTAGGTTGTATTTTTAAAAAATTTCCCTATGGACTCAAGCATTTTCTTCATTCTTTCAGTAGCATTTTATGTGTTCTTCATGTAGGCTCTGGCATTTAAAACATTTAAGTATTTTAATTCCTTGATGGTTGCTATGAATAGAGTTGTTTCCTTTCATAATATTTCTAATTGTTGATGGATTTTTAAAAAAATATTGACTTTTGTTTATTTATTTTATTTCCAGACACTTTAATGAGCACTCGTATTTTTTAAAATCATCTTTTGGTTGATTTTAGCCTCCGAAAGTCTCACCAGGTGGTACCCAGTAACTGTAACTGCCTTACTGTAGGACATGACTTGATGCCACTAGAGAATGGAGTCTAAATTAGGAGTTTATGGACTATAATTTATACATCCAAGAAGGACCAAATATGGGCCGACCCACATCACTGAAATGCAATATAAGTCAGACTAAGTATATTAGAATATGAATAAGCATGCTGTGATCATGAGATTATTTAATATTGTGAGATGTCCTTGGGTACTCGATTAATCTCTCAGGCTTAATCTTTGTGAATTCCGTATTATTTATGGGAGCAGTAGAAAGGCTGGATTTAATTAAGCCTGAAGATAGAATTTCCCTGTTTGAGTAAGGAGTCTGTTGAAGGATGGAAGGGAAAACTGAACCGTGTTAATCAAGAATAGGAGTTTATGAGGTTATGAATTCCAGCCATGCTAATTTTTTGTATAACCCCGCAAATAAAATATAATTTCTCTCATCAAGAGTGATCCTCCTTCCTCCTTCCAGTAAACACCAACTGCCCTAACTACCCACAAGCCAACCCCCCCACTCCCGTAAGTAGATGTAAGATGGTCTCACAATGCCATCTGGTGGCCACCTGGGGAACTGTAGGAACTGGTCTCTTCCCGTTGGACCTCTTGCGGGGGTTGGTATCCAGGAAGCTAGATCCAGGCTTGGAAACAAGCAACTTGTGCCTGTAGCTACAGGCAAAGAGAGAAGATAATCAAAATCCAAGTCCTGGAAAAGGCTTGCTGAGGGAGCTCGGAAACAAGGAAGAAGCCAAAAGGTTGTGTGCATCCACAGGAGTTGTTAAAGAGCAAATTCGATATCTGAAAAGAGAGGTCTGCAAAGCAGTTCCAACAGGAAAAGTCTGAACCAAACCAAACCAAAACAAAACAAAAAAAGAACAGCTCAGAGCAGGGATCAACTTAACTGTATGCTTCCAGTCAGCTCCAACACCTTGCTTCAGGGGTTTCTTCATTTACCATTTTTGTGTATGTGTGTGTTAATTTTCTTAAAATTTTTTCCATGACTTAAAACTCAGATAATTTTAGAAAATTCCCGAACAGCAAAGTCTACTCTGCATTTACCTTCCTTGCTCCCTCTTTCCCCTCTTCCTCCCTTGCCCCCCTTTCCTCCCTCCTTTTCTCTCTTCCTTTCCTTTTCAGCTCTAATTCTAGTGTTCTCAGGAGAACTGCCTTCTTTCTCATCCTTCATTCTGTTCCGGAGCCAGAACTTAATCCTAGTTATACCTGATAAGCCTAGGGATAGTGCTTGTGCGTCGGCTTGATTGAGGAAAGGGACCTAGCAGCTGTGAAATGAACCTGTGCTACTAACACCTGAATCCTTGGAAAGAATCAGGAGCTCCTCCCACATAAGCATCAGCCGTAGTCCTCCCATTCAACCCAACACGATTTCCCCAAGCACCTGCCTTCAAGATTTATATCTCCTTTATTCACTGCCACATTCCCCACTTTTAAAATAGCACCTGGCATACAGAAGAAACTCAATTAATATTTGTTGAAGGAATAAGTAAATATTCTTGGTGAATAAGAAAATGTGGCTGATTCCTTTTTATTAATATTTCAGTTTTGCCTTGTCGTAAGTGCTGCAGTGATGCCTATTTTCATTGTGAAAGTATGATTTTTTTACTTTTGTGGGATAATTTAGACAAAACACGTGAGGCTATTTCTAGCACAAAATAATTACTTTTAAAGTTCCAACCCACCAACTGAGAAACTTTCAGAAAATAACCTTTTGGTAATTTGGGGGCTCTCTACCTTTCTTTGTCCTGTGTTAAGACTGTATCTTTTATATACATCCATGAATTTAAAGAAACCAACAAAATGACAGCTTTTACTTGTCTTGGCTTCTTACGGGCTCTTTGCATTCTTCCCAAAGTAGAAGCTAAGACCATTAAATACACAGAGAAGAAAACAAATTTGGAAAGCTGAAAACCATTAAATATTTAGCAAAAACATCTTGCTGTGTATGTTTTCTGTTTGCTGAATCTCTTTTGCTTTGGAAATCCTTGATGGGCAGAGATGGAGAACTATTTATTCTCTATGTAGAACTAAGCACAGAAAAAATGTTGGCTTCACCTCCTATTTTTCAGAATTGTGCCCTTTTTTTGTGATCCTTCTCAGGAGAGGAGAGATGAGGTAGGCTGTTTTTATTTTATAGAATTGTTCTTCTGACGTTACTCTTATGTGAGAATTTTCTGGGTGTAAAAAAAAAAAAAATGATTACTTGCTACTTCCCATTCCAAAGCCCTAGAATTTCCTTAATATCTCACAAATCTCTGTGATCTTAAAGAAATGCTCTCACCACAGTGCAAAAGGGAAGTTAAAATGAATTAAAAGCCTGTCTGAATTAAGACAACCCAGGAGATCAGTGGGTGTGTTATATTAGAGCGTGGTAGACCTTGGTTAATGTGTGAGGATGTGTCACCACATCCCACGTCAGCTTGACATTTTGTTCCTGGCTGATTTCAGTGGCAGTGGTCATGGGGGGGGAACGGATGTTTAACCTTTGGTTCACTGACTGTGGGGAATCGGAGAGCCTGCAAGGTTCGAGAAAAGCATGGCCTGGCATTACAGACAGAGGGCGGCCATCCCTCTGGCTGAGCCTATGACCTGGATGGAAGCAGGTAACGTCCCTGAGTCTTAGTTTACCTCGCTGTAAAATGGGCGTTATGATGCCTCCTTAGAAGGGCTGTCCTGAGGAATGGAGCTGCTCAGGAGGTAGAAAGCCTGGTAGCAGCCTTCGGCCTCTGGTTGCTTGGGAGTGATCCCAGAGTCACGTGCTCGCTTTCTACTTGTCCTCCAGGTACCTCGGCATCACGCGGCCGCTCACGTACCCCGTGAGGCAGAACGGCAAGTGCATGGCGAAAATGATTCTATCTGTCTGGCTGCTTTCGGCCTCCATCACCTTACCCCCACTCTTCGGTTGGGCTCAGAACGTGAACGACGACAAGGTGTGCCTGATCAGCCAGGACTTTGGCTACACCATCTACTCCACGGCGGTGGCGTTTTACATCCCCATGTCTGTCATGCTGTTCATGTACTACCAGATCTACAAGGCCGCGCGGAAGAGCGCCGCCAAGCACAAGTTCCCCGGCTTCCCCCGGCCCGAGGAGCCGGACAGCAGCATCTCCCTGAACGGCATGGTGAAGCTCCAGAAGGAGGTGGAGGAGTGTGCCAACCTTTCGAGACTCCTCAAACACGAGAGGAAAAACATCTCCATCTTCAAGCGGGAGCAGAAAGCGGCCACCACCTTGGGCATCATCGTGGGGGCCTTCACCGTGTGCTGGCTGCCGTTCTTCCTCCTCTCCACCGCCAGACCCTTCATCTGCGGCACGGCCTGCAGCTGCATCCCGCTGTGGGTGGAGAGGACCTTTCTGTGGCTGGGCTACGCCAACTCTCTCATTAACCCTTTTATATATGCCTTCTTCAACCGGGACCTGAGGACCACCTACCGCAGCCTGCTCCAGTGCCAGTACCGGAACATCAACCGCAAGCTGTCGGCTGCGGGCATGCACGAGGCCCTGAAGCTCGCCGAGAGGCCCGAGAGACCTGAGTTTGTGCTGTAAGGTCACTTATCACTATTCTCCTTTTATCCCCATCTCCAACCGCGCCTTCCCCCCCGCCCCTCCCCTGTATGGACCCTCTCTGAGCATGTCCCAGAGGGCTCCCTGCATCCGTAGCCAGCTGATTTTCTACTAAGCAGATCAGATTTGAATTCAGGATACTCTGGACTCCAGCCCTCCACACAGCAGAATTCCCAGAGCCCAAGTCGGGTACTTAGAGGGCCTGGGAGACGGGACTGGTATGTCCAGGGATTGCAGCTGGTGTGATGGGCAAGGAAGGTGGTGTTTCCTACCCCTTTCCCGTAAACAGCGTCCAAGCCGTGTCCCGCAGCTCCCATTCTTGTAATGCCGGTGCTTTTTGTTGCTGTAACTCTTCTATCCCGTAAAGCTTTTGTGATGCTCGCATCCTTTGCTGATAAAGCCATTCGAGGAAGGAAGCAGATTCACACGAGCTAACAGGAAGCAGCCTGGGACACAGGAGAGTGGATAGCATGGGGAGGAGCCAGGATTAAAGTCTTGAAAGCTGCAGAGCTTTGAGGAGGTGCTGCCCATTTCGGAGGAGGAAGGAGCCCATGGTTGCTGAGTCTGTCTGGAAGGCCTCTGCCTTACTCGGGAGCAGTTGCGGCAGGGGCTGGGATCTGAGGGCCAGTGGTGATAAGGAATGGGGTGTCACATGCAATCCACTGACTAGTGAGTTTGGCATGGTAAAGAAGGAAGGAGACAATAGAGTAATTAGGGTTGTTAGCACACTGCCCCCTGATTTTGCTTTAAATCTGAGGCAGAGGCAACATCCTCCTGTTTGAAAGCTGTTTGAAAGCAAAGAAACTGGAATGAGAAGATGGAAGGTGCTAATGAGAGGGCAGTGGTGGGCATGAGAGGAGGAAGCACTTCTCTTCACTGGACCTGGTGGGCAGGAGCAGCCAGAGAACCATGGGCTGCCTGTCAGCCATGTTGTCCAGGCCCTTCATTTGACAGAAGAGGTAACAGACCTGGGGACTAAGGCAGCACCCCTAGGTCTAGATCCCACCTCATCTGAATCTTATCCCTGTAAATTCTTCATATATTAGATTCCTTGATGGGTAACAACCATGTCAAAGGACACCTTCTTCCCCCTAGCTGTCCAAGAAGAACAGCCTTGCTTCAGGTGAAAGCCAAAGTGTCCTCATGGATCCCAGTGGCCTCCAGAGGCTCTAAATCTGGAATACCCCTCAAATGACTGAACACCTCTAAGAACGCAGCCTGTTCTCTAACTTCACCAACATAGCATCTGGGTCGTTATTTGCCTCTGGGTCGTTAGCTAGTATGGAGGCTTAGGTTTGTTTTCCTGTTAGTCTAAGACAAGGGTCAGCAAATTTTACTCTGAAGGGCCAGATGGTAAGTGTGTTAGGCTAGCTGCGGGTCACTTGAAACTACTCATCTCTGCCTTTTCAGTGAGAAAGCAGTCATCAACACAAGTAAGCAAATGATGATGGTCATGTACCAATAAAACTTTATTTACAAAAACAGGCTGCCAGTTGAATTTGGCCCACAGGTCATAGTTTGCTGCCCCTGGTGTAAGAAAACGACTGTTCTCTCATTACATCTCACTCTGTTTGATTTGTAATTATTGTTTTTTTTTTATAATAATAGAATATGAAAATCATTTGGAATGATTGGTCTAAATCTCCATTAACTTCAGGAAATTTTCATTAAGAGAGTTGGAATAACTGCTGTTTTAAAAAATTTGACACCAGGTAGCTTTCGATTCACTTTCCATAGGGGAGGACTCCTTTTGAAATTCTTGCTCCTAACTGTGCCATGCATTGTGAAGGATGCAGAAAATACATGATATCTTTCCTGTCCTGCATATATTTCTGTTGGGCAGTCTGAATGTAAACACACATGTATGCACAGCCATCCTTTTCATAATGAAAGCAATGGAAAGTTGGAAAAAATAAAGGCTAAAGGATTCAAAGCAGAGGAAAATAACTCAGAGCTTACCCTAACCCTCATCAGGGAAGATCTTGGAGGATATGGGCTCCAGTATGTCTCTGAAAGTAGTCAAGCATTTGTAGCTAAAGGAGAGTAGAGACAGCATCCATGTAAAGGCACCAGTGGGGGGCCTTCTGCAGAGGACAGTCAGGCTAGCGCTAAGCTCTGGGGTGGGGCAAGATTTGGGGATCAGAGTGGAAAGATAAAATGAGATCAGATTGTGAAGACTCTCCCTTTCTAGCCCCAGGAATTTGGGATTTTAGTGTAGACAAGTGGTTCTCAGCCAGAGTTGGTTTTGCTGCCAGGGAACATTTGGTGGTGTCTAGAGACATGTTTGGTTGTCACAGTTGGGGGAGGGGAGGACCTACCGGCATCCAGTGGGACACCGCTCAACATCGCCTAACACAAGGGCAGCTCCCCCACAACAAAGCATTACCCCACCACAAATTCTATAATGCTAAAGTTGCAAAACCCTAGTGTGGACAGAAGAGAGCTTCTGACTGGATCTCTGTGAATAGGAGAACGGGAATCATTGAAGAGATGGAGACGGATCCAGGGGCTCCAGGTGAGATGAATCAGAAGGCAGAGGCGGGAAGTAGTCTCTTCAGTGGCTGGTTTTCTCCAGAAACCTTTGAGGCCTGCTACGTACAAGGCATAATGCCAGGCATGTCAGGGGGTGGAAAGATGAAGAGGTGACAATCTATGCTTCTGGAAGCTTTTAGTCCAGTGCGTTGGGTGGGGGGATGATGTGGCAGTCATGGTTAGTGAGAGACTAGTAATCAGAATATCCCATACTGAAGAACCTAGATGTCCATCAACAGATGAATGGATAAAGAAGATGTGGTATATATACACAATGGAATACTATGCAGCCATCAACCCCCGCCCACCCCAAAATCCTGCCATTTTCAACAACATGGATGGAACTAGAGAGTGTTATGCTGAGCGAAATAAGTCAATCAGAGAAAGACAATTATCATATGATCTCTCTGATATGAGGAATTCGAGAGGCAGGGTCGGGGTTGTGAGGGGTAGGGAGGGAAAATACGAAACAAGATGGGACCAGGTAGGGAGACAAACCATAAGAGACTCTTAATCTCAGGAAACAAACTGAGGGTTGCTGGGGGTTGGGGAGGTAGGGATAGGGTGGCTGAGTTATGGACATTGGGGAGGGTATGTGCTACGGTGAGTGATGTGAGTTGTATAAGACTGATGATTCACAGACCTGTACCCCTGAAGCAAATAATACATTGTATATTAATTAAAAAAAAAAAAAAGAATATCCCATACTTGCATTTCAGTACACACCAGCTGGGTAGCCCAAACATCTCGTAACTCTACAGGAGTCTTCTGGAAGAGTGACTGGTGTCTAACCCGTAGCTCAAAGCAAACCTTCTCAGGATCCTTTGTCCCCCCGACCCATCTCTCCAGTGCCTATGCTTCTTGGCCAGCCTATAGACTTGAAGTTCCTCCCTCTAGTCTCTCCAGCCCTTTCCTCCCTCTGTGGCTGCTTGGGTTCTAATTTTGTTCACTTATGCCCCCAACTCCGCCTTCCTGGCTCTATCCCTACATGATGGTTTCTTCTTTTCTGCGTAAATGCTCTACTAGACTGTGTATTGCTCCTTCCAAATATCTACCCATGTCTTCCCATTTTCTTGATCAGCACAATGAGAGACTCAGGAGTCCAGCAGACACTTGGGTAGGCAGTGGACAGAGAGAAAAGCTGTGCCTGCTTCCCTGGTCTGTTCTAAGTTATAACCTCTTTCACCTTTTCACAAGTATCCGAATCTGGTAATACAAAGCCAAGTGTGATAATGTGATATAGCAGGGATTCTTGTGTTTTTCTTTTTAATTTGACAACCTCACTTACAGAGTTGCTTTCAATTGCCATAAATTGTTTTTAAGGGTCACATCGTGAGGATTTTTGTTCTTTGACACTGTTATTGTGAACAATAGAGAAAAGCAGTTTTGGGCACACCTGGGTGGCTCAGTTGATTGAGCGTCTGCCTTTAGCTCAGGTCATGATCTCGGGGTGCTAGGATTGAGCCCCGCGTCAGGCTCCCTCCCTCTCCCTCTGTCCCTCCCCTAGCTTTCTTTTTTTTTTCTCTCTCTCTCTCTTAAATAAATAAATAAAATATTTTTAAAAAGAGGAAAAGAGTTGCCGTTTTTGAAATACTTCCATATAAAACAATTCTATGAAGTTATTTTGAAGTAGCTCTCCGTTCGCCTCTCCCTTCTTCTCCTTGGTGATCGTATTGCCTTTCTGTTCAAAAAGCCTCTTAGAATCCCAGTTGATTGCAGTGGTGAATTGTGACAGAGTCACCTTGGGTTCCTTTTATGAGTTCTGTCAATCCGCTGCTCCCGGCTTAGTGCTGAAGCTTTGGAGTTCAGGGTGATTCTACCTTTTCTTTATGAAAACCAGTGGTTTAAAAAAAAAAAAGAAAAGAGAAGGAATGGTTCCCAGTAGGAACTGGGAGGAAGCACCAAGGCCCTGAAGCTCTGGGTATCTGTGCTGGGATGTCGCCTTAAAGGCAGAAACAAATGACACCTTTGCTATTTCATGGGTTCCCCTCCACGCCCTGTTCTATTTTCCTCATCATTAACTAGCTGTAATTCAACTCCTTGTTTTCATTAAGTCATCAGTGAGTAATAATCACAGCTTGTTTGCTTTGCTGTTGCCTACATTCTCACTTTGCAATATCTCTTTAGAATAGGAAAGGCAGGCAATTGGCTTTTCTTGCTTCTTTGAACATGTTTTTTCTTTTTTGTTTTCTGAGTAGATACAGATAACACCAAATAAAATCAAGAAGTACAGGGATGTCCGGGTGGTTCAGTCAGTTACACATTTGCCTTAGGTTTACATTGTGATCTTAGGGTCCTGGGATCGAGCCCTGTGTCTGGCTCCCTGCGTCTTCGGGTAGACTGCTCTCCCTCTGCCCCTCTTCTTCTGCCCCTCTTCCTCTGCCCCTCACCCTGCTGGTGCTCATGCTCTGTCTCTGTCTCTCTCAAATAAATAAATATAAATAAATAAAATCTTTAAATAAAAATCAAGCAGTATAGATAGGTATATAAGAAAAATAAGCTTTGGGGAAAGGTAGAGTTGGACCTACTCAAAGCAGATGGGACAGCAGGGACAGAGGGGCACAGATGTGGTTGGAGGCAAATAAGGAACACGGGGCAGGTCTTCAGAGTACCTGGAAGCTGGGTCGATTAGAGTCAGCATGGAGGGCCAGCTGGGCAGTGTGGGTGGGGGAGAAAGAGATGAAGCCTTTGGAGCAGGGGTGAGACCAAGGCAGTGGTGTAGACTGGTTCACAATAGGAGAAGGGAGATGGGTTAGGAGACCAATATGAAAATGAGGTCTCCTGCCATGAGAGCCCACATGAGGAAGGTGGCGTTGAGACCAGGAAAGATGCCAAGGATGTCTGAATGTTCAGTGGTGTCCTCACAGGTGGATGGTGAAGGGGGGCAGGGGAGATGGTGCTGAAGGGGTTCAGTCCATTTCATGAACCAATCCAGGTAGAGCGGTGCTGAGCTGCAAGGAAGTGCAGTGTCTCCTCTGTGCTGAGACGGTGGAGGCCCCAGCCTAAGAACAGTTGGGAAGCATCATCGGGGATACAGCTGTTTCCGGTGCCCACTCCCACAAACCCAGGAGCCTTGGAGGGGGTTTGAGCCGAATCATGGTCCTTCTCTTTAGGCATCATTCTGTGAAGTGACAAGACAAAGAAAACGAGAGCTGGGGTCTCATGGAGAAACTGATCCTTTCACCAGGAAAACCCATCTATCCAGTCCTGAGAGCCAACTGAGAGTAGGACTATTATTGGGTTGGGGAGGCAAAGCCTGGGGGTGCAGTGCCAGGCCCTGGAACCTCAACAGACCTAGGTCTCAAGCTTGTGAATAGTGTTTGGTAAGTGAAGTCCTATGAATATACAGAGTTAGGGGACTGTGGACCTGGTGGGAATGTGGCTCTGCACCAAGAAGAAAGAGACTGTCCCTCAATGGTTGGCCAAGACTTCTCCATGACTCATGCCACTTCTGTGAATCTGGGAGGAAGGAAGTGAGGGAGATGGGGTTCTCTGGTTTTTGCACACACGTCTTTCTATGATGCACCCTCTAGGGCTTGAAAGGAAGAACACTTCTCATAACGTGGTTGTCATTATTCTTTTCACGTGGGGCAAGTGCAGTAGTATTTTGCAAGGATTTTTGAGAGTGGAGCCATTTTTGGCTAGAGCTGTATTATAAAAGTGAATTTCTAAATGGGTTATCTGGGGCTGATTTACAAATATATTAAGGCCCTGGCAACTTAGAGACACTATAAAATTTATGAAAAGAGCCACAGCACTCTTTCTTTCCTTTTAGAGAAGCTCATATAACCCCTTAGAAACCACACATGATTCAAGTGACTGAATGCTGTCAAAATTAAATCTACCCACCACAAAATGAAAAACTCACATTTACGGTTCTGCTAAATCATTTTCTTGTCTTCTCTCTCTCCCTTTCTCTCTCTCTTTCTCTCTTTCTATAGACAAAACTCTGACTACTGTAGGAAAAAAAGTCATGATTCATGATCAAAAGTGGAATAATGAAAACGAAATCAACAAGGCAAGACAGAGGTGGAAACAGAACTCAACCATTTGCTGAGGCCACGAATGGAGTGCGGCTTGTCCTTTCCTGGGGTGGCTGAGACGTGACAAGCAGGGTGATCTGTTGTACAAAGCATGTTGTGAGAGAGATGGTGACCTCTCGTCTTTTTCTGTGGATCAGTGCTGTTGTGTGCCAAAGAAAATAGTTTTCCGTTTAAGACAGCCAGATCAGCTCAGCGGTAAGCACACAAACAGAACTGAGTCCCAGAAAAGAAACCGTTTCTGGTGCTTTGCGTGCGTCCAAGCCCCTACAAATGGAAGAAAGTTCCAATGCGCACTTCCCATGCTTCCAAGTCTAGGCATTGTGGTGAATATTCACGAGACAGAATGTATTTTGTGGCAGGACAGAAGGGTGTGTTTTTCCAAGCAAACTGTGGTAAGCGTAGCGTTGAACGTGTTGCATGTCCGTGTTAGAAAACAGAATCCCGTCATCAGCTAATACAAATGATGTCCCAGAGCAGTGTCTGGTTCAAGCTTCTGTCAAATAGTTTCGCTTTTTTGCAAGGTCCCTGTGACTTCCCCACCAATGTACTTTTCTTCGTGAACTCTTGTATTGTTATGGTATCACTCAGGAACAGATCTCAGGATGGAGAGAATCATCAAACCTGAATAAAGCTTTTTCTTGTACCCACACTTCTTCTGAAGGGTCCTGAGAGGGAGGAGGGCTCCTTCGGTAGGCTTTGTCCCTACCTGGATGAAGAGCAGGGGCCGCCAAACTGTGCTGTCTACCAGCATGGCTGTGGGCATGGAACTTTGGGCGTAGACATCAGGTTGACACAACTGCGGTGGGCTCCCAGGCTGGGCAATAACCATGTGTTTTGGGGGAGGAGGTGTGGGAATAAGAAAGGTTTCCATGGAAGGTTATGATGCTTTCAGACACGGAGCATCCACATTGTTAATTCTTGGGCAGCGTTGTATTAAAGGGAACCGTGTGACTTGGAGGTTGCCTGGGCTGCTACTGGGAAACACTCAGAACACTGTTCTCTTCCTTTAGGAAGAATTGTTTTCGTGTTCTCTGTAACCTAAATCGAATGTGTGCCTGGCCAGTTCTGTTCTTCTTCCCTCTCCCACCCCAAAGTGGTAGACATTAAGGCAGGTAAGGAACCAGAAAAGGCCCCTATGCAGATAGTTTTTTTTTTTTTTTTTTTTAATGTACAAGGAATATGTAATAAGACAGGAAGATGGTGGGTCGGAAGAGTACCTCCAAGGGGAGAAAGTGAACGCAAAGCTTCGTTTGATAAAAGAGAACTGACAGAGAAAATTATTTTCCTACAAGAAAGGTAGCTGCTCTCTTCCAGAAGACTATGGAATTCCAATGTGGATTTTGGATATCTTCTGCTTTCACTGAACATTGCATCTCACCAGACACAAGGAAGGGTCTGGAGGGGAGGTGGGCGCTGTCCTCTCAGACAAAGCTTGTACAGATTCCTGAACCATGGATTTGCTGAAGTGACTGTATATACTTATATTCATAATTTAAATGATTAATTCTGGTCGGATAAATGTTGTTAAATTTTAAAAATGTTTTATTACATTACATCAAATAAAGTTTATTTGTAGCTGTAATAAAGCAAATTAAGTAACGATTTTTAATGGAAGGTTTGCTGTCTTGAATATTGCTCTACGTAGAACAGCAGAAGGCCAAGTTTTGTATGTTTTGCTAAAATCCTAACAGGTAGTTAAGACCGTCTATAGTTTACTGCGTTTCACTGTGAGGATTTATCCAGCTCGTAACTTTTTTTTTTTTTTTTTAAGAATGATTCTTCATTCCTTGACTTAATTAGTGGGCATTTATTGGGCTTATGCCATATTCAGCACTGTGGACATCAAGGGAGCAAAGATGGATAAAGCAGGTCCTTACTCTGAAGAAATGTGCCATTAGAGAGAAGACATACGTTTCTCAGATGGTTGCCATATCACACAGTGAATGGTGTGTTAGTGTGTAGGGAATGTCCTGTTCCTTTCCTGTAGTAAAAGACAAGGCATTATGGTTAATTGGGTTGATTCAGGTTTTTAAATAAGTTTGTTTAATTTTTTTTTTTTTTTTTTTTGGTCATGACCTTAGTTATTCATATCTGTTCTTTGTCATGCCTGACTCGAACGCCTGGTTATTGAACTCTGCTTTCTTGGGCTATAGGGTCTGGCCAGTGTGCACTGTGCTTTACGAGCATAGCTGCCAAAAGAAGGAGAGAGTAGAAACTGAGAGAGAATGAGAGAAATCTCAGACACTTTATACTGCTTCCCACATGACATAATTTGTGCCAAAGGTACAGCTTTTGTTTTAACCCAGAATTGGGGAAATCACTGAAAGAAACACTCTACACATATTTTATGAGTGTTCAGCAAGAATGGCTGTGATGACTCATGTCTTTTCTCACTCAGGGGTGTCAACTGTCAGCCTGCAGGGCTGGGTATTGGGAAATGGTGCTTAGGAAACAGTACTTGTAAGCTGTCACTTAATGATAGTTACTTAGTGTTTGGTTTTGTTATGTTCATATTAAGCAGGGGCACTCATAGAGTTCCTGTTTTCTGGAAATGGTTTCATCATTCTTAAAGCCTTTGCCACAGTGTCATGTGCTTGACATGCTTGTATATGTTTTTAGTGATCATATTTTCATGCAGTTTTATTAGATGCATTGATTATAGGCATAGTATCAATGAAGATGCAGACAATTTTTCAGATAGTTTATGCTAATATACTGATTGCTTGAATTGCCATCTGGAGGTGGCAGGCATTTTCCTTGCAGCACTTTGACTCTCAGCAGAGTTCTCCATTTAAGGGATAGAAATGTTTACCAAACCCTGCATTTTCCAACAGTCGATGCTTTCCATCTCAGGACCTTCACACATGCTTTCCACCTTCTGTCTGGAATATTCGTCATGTTTTCAATTATTCATTTAATGTATATATCCATCATAGTTTAGTACATCTTCAGGGGTGATTATAGTGTCTGTTTCCCTCATCAATATGCCCAACACTTTGCACTGTGCTTGCAACATATGTAGGAAGCATGTAAAAAATATTTCTTAATGGGAAAGAAAGAAGGAGGTGGAGGGAAAGAGGAAGGCCAGGGTTTACTTGGCATCCTTGTTAATTTTCAGAGGAGACTATTGAGGAAACTTGGTGTGATCAAGTGACATGTTCAATGAGGGGGACAGAAGGGGCTGGAATTAAGCTCTCCTGTGTGCAGTGTAGGGTAGGCCCTCCACGACAGGGTGCTGCTCCTTTTGCATGAGCTTCTCATATCAAGAGAGCAACCTTTTCTTAATTTTCTGCACTAGTAGAGCAGAGCCATGTATGTGTTATGGCCCATATGTTGAAACTTGTTTATCTACAGCTAGCCAGATGGTCCCTCCCAGTGCACAAAGAAGCCATTCTGAAACTTTCAAGGGGTCAGGGCATTTAGGAAGCACTGGGAGAAACACATGTTGTGATGTCATTCCTTCCTTAGTTCAAGCAGTGTAGATCACAAAAGGAAAACCTGGTCAGATAGTCAGTGTGAAGCAGGCAGACCTTGAGAACCAACTCAGGGGATCCAGTTCCCAGAGACAAAAGTTTATTTAACTGGATTTCTCTTTGAGCTTGCTTCGTCTACATCTTCTCTGGAGAAGGAAAGTAATTTCTTTACTTAAAAAAATTTTGCTTTTAAGCTCCTGCTGGCTAAATAAGTTAAAAAAACAAAAACATGGCTTATGCAGTCCAAGCAACAGAGATGGGATGTGATCATCAATACACAATGTAAAAGCAAAATTTACTATGCTAATCCGAAGCAGAAAATGAGAGAGGTTGACAGCCATCTGATGTAGACTTGAAGATAACAATTACATTGGGTATTTGGCATTAAAAAAATGCTGAGTGAAGGGAATTAAGACATACTGTAACTATGGCTCTCGGAACACACATGAAATCTTAGATTCTAGTCATACTATAAAATTTATGCTCAGAGATTATAAAACAAAGGGAAAGTAATGGACAAGAAATATTCAAGAGGCTGTAAAGAAAGGAAAGTCTGATGCATGGTTCTTCCTCTAAGAAATTCATTTTTCCACTTACTCATTTATTCCCATACGTATTTATTATATATGTCAGAGTCTAAGCACTAGAACCTAGTGGTGAATAAGAACTGATTTCCATTCTTGTGAAACTAAAAATCTATGAAGGAAGCGTAAGTTACACAAATGATTCTAATCCAGTGTGATATGTATTATGATAAGGCACCTACAAGGAGGTTCAGAAAGGAGTGCACGCTTCAAAATATTGATGAGAACATTTAAATCTTACTGGAGGAGAGAATTGATCATCCAAAGTAGCAGATGGTAAGAAATATCTAGATTTTATTTTTGATGTATATTATGTAATATTTTTAATAATGCCAAATTACCTTTCTTAATTATGTTTTGATTGGGCTATTATTAAAATGGTCTTTATTCTCTTAATCCACACAGTCTCACAGTGGGAGAGATGGCACAGAGCAACTACAAGATAGCAGAAAGTCTGCTGTGAACATAAAAGTTTGTCACCTGTAGGAAAAAGATCTAACCGTATCCACAGAGAATTGTAGAATCTCATGGATGATCTAGAGTAAACTCCTACTGTTTAGCAGGTGAGAATGTGCTGAAGTAGAGTTGTGGTTTTGTCTGAATTTGTTTAAAGGAGAGTGATGGAAAGCCATGCTGTCTTTGGTGAAGAGGTTTTAAAAACTGTCGTGTAGCTGTGTGTTTGCAAAATACAATAAAATAGAGCGAATTAGAAGAAAACTGAGGTAAAAATACAAAATATAAGTTCAATTTTTTTCTTACTAGGTTTGGTAGACCTAAAATTATAGTTCAGTAAATATGGTCAGAACAAACCTAACGTGGAGAAACAAACAAACAAACAAAAAATCACAAATGTGGGCCATTTTCTCCTGCAAATGTACAGTTAGGGAAAACCAAGCCATGCCTGGACTAAGAAATGACCAGCACAATTAGGACACTGTGCGCAAGGCCCTCCCCCAGCATGCTGTGGTGTGTGTGAGGCAGAGGTGCTGTGCCGACGGGGCAGGGGAGGACAACCCCTGGCTTATGAGCCATGCAGAGAGGTGGCCCGCAGTAACCAATCAGAGCCTGCAAACAACCCAACTTTCCCCGTGTTCCTCCTCTTTAATTATCCCCCAATTAAATTGAGCCCAGAATGTTGCCCTGAAGGCACTGAAAGGTATTTAATTTTTAGAATGATTATATTAACCAAACTGTGCTTAAATAGGCCAGAAAAATAGAGACTAAATTTTGACAGTGTCAACAATAGTTTGAAGGTGAAAGTTTGTGATATAGGA